ATTTATTTTATTCATTTTTCTGTAGAACAATGATTATTAATTGTATGAATTATTATTTACTGTATTAAATGTAATACATTATTAATTTTAAATAATTGTGCACGATTAATTTCAATTCCTAGTAGTCACAAAAGCTACAAGTTATAACATTGAAGGATTGCATTAGATAAATTATCATCCAGCCCCTATCTATATTTGTTGAAATGTTTTATTGATATTAATTTAAACAATAATCGTATTAAATATGATTCATAAAATAAAACATTTATAGAAATTGGCTTGAATAAAATAATAAAAATATTAACTCACCACTTTTTTTTATTTTCATTGTCAAATATTTGCTATGGGCTAAGATATCTGTGATGTTGTCTACACACATGTATTTAAATATGAAAAATGAATTCATAAATTCCCTAGTCATAAAACATGCATCGTAAACAAAACCGATTATATAACTCGAGATGACAATGTATCCAACGTAAAAAAATAATGTTTTCCGGTATGACACAAAACATACCACTGTGTTTGGTGAGACGTGTATGCATAGGCATTTTGCTAATAGACTATTTTTTTGTACACGGAGAACCGTCCGCATAAACTAAAAAAGACTCTGGGAGGGTGAGGTTCATAAAAAATTCACGATATTCAATATTACCAATATTATCAATATTTATAAAAAAATATTAAATTTATATTAAATAATAACACAACTATTAATTTTCGTGTGGGTGTGGGGTCTGAATACCTAGCCGACATAAAGCCACTCTTTTTTTCACACCAAAATTTCACCAGACAACGACAAACAGCCATTCGACAAAACACCATCTTTATAATCCGACAATATGCCATCCAACTATAAACCATCATACAATACTACCAACAGAATATTTCGGTCAATATGGTATAAAGGTCGTCAAAAAGCCACATGACAAATAACCATGTAATATAAAGCCTCGAATACGTGATAACATACAAGATTATCATACTATTAGCATCCGCCATGAGCGCTGGTAGTGAGCAGGTTATTGTCATTATTGATAAAAACATTAGAGGCCACTTTTTCGAGAATCGTTATATAACCATAGTATCTATAGCCGTGGTATTGACTATAGCAGTTGGCTATCTAGTTATTTTATATGTCTATGGTATAGAGACAGAAAATCCGAACGGCTGCAAAATGGCTACTATTACTTTCTCATACATCCATTATCATTATCACTTACAGCTTAACACTAAATTAAGAAAGCATAATATTCTATTAGTTAGTCTTAATGGTTTATAAAGTGTATTACATTTAATTTTTCTTGATATTCAACTATTTGTAAAAGTGAAATAAATTGATTTTTTAACTAGTTAATACCTTTATTTATAGATATATAATAAACATTAATAAATAATTTTAAATAAAAATATAAAATGTAGCATGTTGCTGGTAACATATTTTGTTGAACTGGCCATAACAAAAAACCTTAAAAATAATATAATGTTTGCATAAATAAATATAAATGGAAATAAAATTTAAAAAATATCATGTTGCTGGTAACATTTGTTCATTTTTTAAAACAGCTAAAATGGGTCTGGCGGTAGAGAAATATTTCTTCAAAACATTAAGTTATTAATTTCTTAAGTTCTTCTAAATTTGAAATTCTTTCAGACATTTTTTCAAAATATAATTTAAATTTTTCTTTTTTAATTTGGAATGTCAAAATAGCCCGGTTAGAAATAAACTTAAAATCATATACCTCAAATTCCTTTATTATTAATACAAAGCTAGTATGCTTAGGCAGATTCAGCAAATATTTATCTAGATAAATTATTATTGTAGGTTCTTCGCCACATTACAACAACATATGAAAAAACTGACTGTACCAAAGATAGGTAAATAAAAAATAATTATTTTATAAAAATTATTAAAAATATATCTAACTTTTTTAAAAATGATGAAGAATTTTCGTACTAGTTTTAATATGACAACCATCATCACAGCTATCATCACCAAAGCTCAACATTTCAGTCTTTAAATTATTATTAATGCTCAAAATATCATTAATAAAAAGACGTCCTTGGATAATAAAGACGGATACAGCTACTGTTACAGGTAATTTAATGTATATCTGTAAGCAACAATAAACCATTACTAATGAATAAAAAATTCTGAACGCAGTTCAGTTGACAGTGATGCTTTGCCAACAATATAAATGTCATATTGTGGTAAAATAATTAAATAGACATTATATATTTTCTTTAATAATATTTGTTTGATATTGTATCGATTATCCCGGTTTTCCTGCATTTTTTTCAGTTTTCCCATGGTTTTTCTGGATTATCACATTTGATAAGCCAACTCTTGGAAAAATCAGAAAATAATCACCTTAAAGTACTTTCCCAGTCAGATTTACTTTCAGAAAAAGTTCTATCATTGTAAATTAGGTAAAATTGCTGGTAGAAAAGTTGTGTACAGAAAAAAGAGGCCATAATATTTTTTTACTAATATCTACATTTCGTAAATTTTCTGTGTTTCCGACATTTTATCCCGGTTTTTCCTAATGAAAACCCAAAAATCATAAAAATGGCCTCCCTAAACAACAATAATAAAATTTCCTGAAAATACTGAAACCATGAAAATAAGCTTCACTTGATATATGGGAGAGTTTTTGACATTTTTCGATTAAAATCATCCAAGTGAGTGATAGCTAGGTCTCTAGATACACTTAAAATGCATTTGTTTTTTCCCTATTTAGGTAAAAAGTAAAAAAAGTGCGAAAAATGTCTTTTCGAACCCTGGGTTTGAATCTGCATCCTTTTGTATAACAATACATATTCATGATTATTCGACTACAACAAACATTAAGTAAAGTTATTTAACATAAAATATAATATTCACATAATATCAAAACTTCTAAAAGCTATAATATCGAAATTTGGTCAGTCCATTTAATTTTGACTTCATCATCAGTCTTAAATAGGCAATATACATGTGTTCAAAAAACAATAAAAATTGAAATATTATATTTGTTTCACATAATTTTTTACTCAAATGAATTTCATCAAAATTTGATATTAAAATTCCTGTATAAAAAAAAATGACTACATTGAACTCAATTTTTTTTTTTTACTACAAAGTAAAACTTTTAATATGAACCTCCTGTTAAATTTTGAAGCATTTATGTTCAAGTTTTACAATTTTACCACAGAATACCGTACAGAAATACCGTTCAGAATACAGAATACGTACAAAACTTGCAAAATTAAAATGACTATATATAACTCAAAATTACCTTAAATTTTTTTAAAATTTTACCATGTTTAGAAAATGCAATTATAAATTTTCTGTTCTAATTTTAAGTCCATTAAAAAATAATAAAATCATTGTTTCATAAATTTCCCGCTTTTCTTTTTCCTTGGATGAAATCTATTAACCGGTAGATTATATTGATTATAGGTACGCTTGCCTACGATAACGGAAAATGGTAGTTTTAAAAATAAGTTTTTTTTACGTTTTATCATGTAACAATATTGATTGAAATACGTTTACGTCATTGTATTCATATTTCATAGATAGATTTGAAAAACTATTATTTTTTTTAATAATATTATTTGATTATTTGTTGATAAATAAAATTTGGACAAATATTATCCATTTAGTACTTATATAAATAATAAATCTGTAGTTTCGTTCACTATATTTACGAGCGTTTTTCTATAATCGCCTTAGTTGTGCTCATATTTATAATGAAATACATTTTAAGTGAACGTGGTAAAGAACTAATTATTTACCAAAATTAAAATCTAGATGTATCAAAGTTAATGAAGTTAATGAGAAATATTTTATGTAAAAATATTGTTAACAATCGACAGGCTCATAAAAGTAAGACAATAAACATAAATAATCCAAAAGTAAAAAAAAACAAATAATATTTACAGATTAACAATTTGCTAATTTTCATTGTTTTTTTTCCTTTATAATTCATAATCCTAGAAACTTGAAATTTTCACCGAAATACTTATAATACATTATATTTGCATTTCATATACCAGATATAATTTCAAAAATATTCTTTTATTTGAGTCAACAGATAGTGTAAAAATAAAATATAGTAACAAATTTACATAGGTTTAGTTAATTACAAAAAGTAACAGCTAAACAAAATTTAAAATATAATAATATTTGGTTTGAATTTGTTTACATTTACACTACAGTAGTAAGCACAATAAATTTACATATGAAATTGTTCAATTTTTTGTGACAGGTACAATAAAGTTTCTGTTGTGATAATTCTTACAAAGAGAGAAAATCAATTAAGCATATAACTGGAAGTTTATATTTTAAAAACATTAAATTTCTTATGGCTTATGTTGTATGTTAATCTCAGAAAATGTGAAAACCATTTAAAACTATTTTTGTGTCTAAAATAATTTTTAGTTTCGCAGATTATTTAAAAAAAATATAATTAAATTACATCCTCTGTTTACTATTAGTTTAAATTATACCACCAGTTCTGTATATTTATATTCAGTAATAATATTATTAACTGATTCTATCATCTAAACTGAAAAGAATTGAGTGAGGCACAGATACTTATATTTTCTTATTAACAGTTGACCCTATGGTTTAATTATAAAGAGAAAATTAACAATATAAAAGATAAATTATTTCAGGATATAGGTACAGATTTCAAATTAATGTAAAAAAACACAAATTTGTAGGGAATGGATTATTAAATATATTAAATCAGTAATTTTTAACTATGTTATGTATAAAATGAACTTGATTTATACTTTTCATAGAAATTATTGTGAATATAAACTCTATTCACACATGTGCATTACTGAGTTATATACATGTACATCATTTTTAAATATATTCTCAGTAATCTTAATACTTATAATGTAAAATTATGTAACTTGAAAAATATAATTATACTTAAATATACATAAAACAAGACTTTTCTTTGGTCTTACAGAAACCATGAAATCCAATCAAATTTCTGTCAGTGATGACTTTGAAAATAATTTCATATTAACAGCTACATTAAAAAGCAGACATAATAAACTAATCTATTGTCTATTAATATGTATAAAAAAAACTGTAAGTATTAAAATTATAAAAGCTAAAAATAAATAAAAATGAACTAAATAATAAACAAGAAATTATTACTGGTTCAAATATCACCCAATAATTATTTTTTTTAATTTGAAATTGGTCTTACATATACTAGATTTAGTTTTTTCTTTATATTTTTATACAGATTGTAATTCAATGATTTAACATGAAATAACTATTGATTTATACAAAATGTTTAATTTTAATTGTTTTGTGATAACTACTGAGATCTTGATTGAGAACTGTGATTCCTTATTCTACATTTATTTTAAATTAAAATACAAAATTAAAATTTTTCAAAAATTATGTCAACATAATCAAAGACTAAATAAATAAATATTAAAACAACATTTTGGTGTAACTAATATTTATTACTAATGAATTGTTACTTTTCTACAATTTTTGAAGTTAAGGATAACTTATAAATTGGTGGTCATAAATCGTTGTCATTATTAAGTAATAATGATTGATTCCCAAACTTCTCCACAGAAAATAATTCTGTTATCAATTTTTGTAAGCTTTGAAAATTGTAGAAATTTAAGATTCATTGTTAGTAAATATTTGTAACACTAGAATTTTATTCCAAAATATATTAATAAATTTCCATCTTAAATTTTGTAAAAACAATTTGTTGATTAGTAGTTTTAAAACATATAAAATAGAGGAATCTCTAGAAAGTATTGCAATAAAAAAATTTTTAAATATTGAACAAAAATAAAAACTATTTTTGGTTTTTAGATTAAGTATTTTAAATATAACAATGGCAGTATTAAAAGAGAGAAAAAAAATAAAATATTAAAAAAATAAAATTAAAAATCTAATTTAATACAAAATAAAATTATCACAATATTTAACTTGAAATTAAATTATACATTTATAAAATTAAATAAATAAACAAAAACTAAATTAAAAGAAATTATATAGTGTTGTTTATTTTAAATTTCTGCTTGGTATCTGTCAAACCCAATTGTATAAAATTGTTGCTGAATTCAACCATTTGACTAATAATTTTTATCATTAGTAAGCAATTTGTATATCCATTTCCCTGAAACATAACATCCATTTTTTTATTTTTGTACTAATAATATTTTAAACTCAAAATTTTGTACCTTTTCCATTTCATAATTTTTCTTATCTTTTTTAGAGTATCTTTGAATATTTTATTTAAAGATCTACTTTAAATGAATTGGCTGGTCTTCTCATTTATGTGCTCAATCTGAAATAATATTTCTATTAACACAAAGCTATCTTATTTGCAAAGTAGTCACTAAATTAAAATTTTAAAAAGCAATTAATGTGAAAAACTTCTTTAAAAAAGTGAAAAAAAAGATATTATTATTGTTAATAAAATTGAAACAAAATAATAAATCATATTTTAAGAACTTAAAACAAAAAAATCAATAATATAACATTTGTTCATGTTTTTTTTTTTTTCAATAGTATTTAAGAAATTATTTCATATCATAAAAACTAAGAATTATAATATTTTTATTTGTTTTTTTTTTTTTTATAATACATATTTTTAAATTAGTCTGTTAGGTTACTGGATTAAAAAAATTAAACATTCAATAAGCTGATTAAATTAGTAATTTTAGAAGAAATGATGTTTAAGTGTAAGTTTATTAAAGACAACAAAATTAGGTTAGGTTAGGTTATTACCCTTAACTCAAACAAGATAAGGCAACATTACATTTGGTGAAGCTTCATCTGCTTTAATATAGCAATATGATATTAATGGAGTCAGGAACTGTATAATGTCCAAAAACTCCTCCAGGATCACCAACCAGATACTCCTAAAATAATAATTAAATTATAATTACATTTTTTACAAAAATTTTTAAAACAAAAATCTATTTAATTTATAAACATAAAAATAACAAATTGATATGCTAAGTACTGTTAGTTGATAAATACCTAATGTACTACTATGTTGAACTATTAAATATTTATACAAGCCTTGTTTGTAATTTTTCCTTAATATTTGTCTTTAATAAATTACCTACATGTTTATAATATTATGAATAACCTATACGGAGGACATTTTCCTTGGTGAAATTTAACTCATCAAATTAATTAAGACAACTTTTAATATCATAAAAACTAAGAATTATAACATTATAATTAAGTTTTTTTTTATATAATACATATTTTTAAATTAGTCAGTTTGGTTCAGTATAAATGCATTATAATAATAAAAGCAAAAAAAAAAAAAAATTAATTAACAATTATTAATAACAAATAATTTTATAATTTAATTATTATCTATAAATTAATTAACTAGGGTAATTAAGTTACATAAAAGTTTAGTTTTATGTTTTTCAATTCACATTTACTACCTGCAATGCTTTGTTATTTGTGCTGTTTTTGTCAAACACATTATGTACTATCCAAGGGTAATTGTTAAAAAGTCCAAATTATTCGTTGAGAATTGATGAACTATTCTGAAGAACAAAATTGTTTTGGATAATTCTTCTACTTGTACCATTTATATAAGTTGCATCAAAATATAGTATATAATGTATATTTTGTAAGGTATGTAAATACATATTGTGTATAGTATATAATATTATGCTGCAGGAAATATGAAAAATGATAACAGTTCCTAATAGTTAGGTTAAATCCCAATATGGTCATGAAATGATATCATAGATGTATGGAGGACTTATGTTTATGCATAATTTGCAGCATGCATGCTGAAATTTATATTTAGTGACCTAATGACAATAACAATTTATTCCAGTTGACCTGAGAAATTTAAAAAGAAAAATTATTTTATTTTGTCCAAGGCTAGATTATTAAATTATCATTTCTATAATTCAACATATACTGATAAATATTAGTGAATGTGCACTACTGGAGTTTTATTGTAGAAAGTAGATAGATTTAAAATAGATGTCTGTTTGAAAATATGGTGTAAATACTTGTATATTACTACTGTGACCCAAACTGATTTGATGCTTAAATATCTTTTACACAAAGTAGTAGACAAATTAAGATATAATTATTTGAAAATAATATTGTGTAAAACAATTTTTTAAGAGATTAAATACCAAAAGACAAAATGTTAAATGGCTCATAAATTATTATAATGATACTTGTTAGAAAATAGGTGTGCTGAAAAACAAAATAACAGAACAATTATTTATCAGAAAGCTGGAGCAAGAAAATAAAAAATTCTAAGGTAAAAGTATTCTGATAATCTGATAATTTAGCATTCTGAATTGTTAGGATTCCAACATTTTCCCAAAAAATTAAAGAGTGAACTGGATTCTAAAACCCAGCTCAATTTATAGAACATGAATCAGCCTCAAGTATTGATTATGAATGCCTGATGGAAAAACTTAAATACTTAATAATGGAGAACATTTAGACTTTTGAATCAGGATCTGTGTATAAATGTAATATTATACATTAAATAGTGAATATTATATAAGTGTTAAAATATACAATATTTTCAATTTGAAATCTATTATTAAAATGTAAAATAAAATAATTAGATATCTGAAATGAATGTAACTTTTATATACTATGCATTTATGATTTAATAATTAATTTAAATAAACAGTGACCCTCAGTGAGCTCCATAATTATAGTATTATTATATAAAAAAATAATGAATTTAATAGAATTATTATGATGGTTATACACTATCTTCTATCATCTTGGTAGAATAGGTTGGGTTCGAAAAATCACACTTGAAAAATTAATTTATGGCTACTATCTCATCAGTTTTAACACATAAACTGATATAAATCCATACAATACCAAATTACCTTATCTTCAAAAATTGATAGGCCAAATTACACTTGATGAGATAGTAGCCATAAATTAATTTTCCAAATATCAGAATATACTCAATGCCACTGGAAACTTAAGTTTCAAGACAAAGGATTATGGTTGTAAATTGACATCCAGACTAGGCATTTCCAGTAAAAAATGAAAATAAATTTATTGTGTTATCTATGAAAACATTGAGTAAAATGTGTTTTATTTTTATGTTTTTCTGCTATTATCCAATTATACAGGCCATGTTTGTAATTGTTTCCAATCTCTGTCTGACAAAACTGATAACCTGTTATAATAGTATGAATAATCCAAACTTAAGGCATTTTCTTTAGCAACAATATTAGGAGCACATCATGTAAAGAGTTATTGCATTTGTTTATGCTAGTCTTATACTGGGTCCATACTGAGAGACAAAACTATAATAAAACAAAAACTTGTATTTTTGTGACAAAATCAAAACATTTTTTAAACAATTATGTTTTTTCCAACAAAATCATGTCCCAAGCTGTATTGGTAAACATCAAGTTTGTGTTTTGTTTTTGTTTCAGCAACATTGTCCAATAAGCGTGGACAGTATTTTAAAAATAACCAACAGATAAGATATTGTTTCAGGATTTCATGAGTAGTGGGCCAGTAGTAATAAATTTACAACTATATTGATAATTATCAATATCATTGGCCAACACTATTAACAATATTATACACAAAGTTCCAAAAATTGAAAAGATTATACACAAAGTTCCAAAAATTGAAAAGCTCTTTTTCCTTGGGATCAAATATATATTTATATAAAGATTACCTATACTAATTTTTTTTTATGAGAGAAAAGTAGTGTTTCGTATATGCAAACTGAGCTTATAGATCACTTGCTACCGCTCTCGTAGTCCGTTAAATTACACTTGGCCCGATAGTGGAGGGAGCGTAAGAATGACTGGTTTTCGTCGAGACTCTACTGTTTTTTCATGAAAAATAGTATATATATTATGAATATTATCCTTTAGTTTAGTTATGCAACACAATTGTTGTAACAAAAATGTTAAGTATATTTTTGTGTAATATATATTACCTATCTAAAATATTATCATTTCTTTTATTGATTGGTAGATTACCTTTAACTCAACCAAGGTAAAGCATCATTCTATTTGGTAGCAGTATGAAGCGTCATTAATTTTAGGATAGCGATATGATATTAATGAATAATGTCCAAAAACTTTTCTAGGACCACTTAACAGATACTCCTATAATAATAATTATAATTCACAAAGTACAAACTTATTGTATAATTACTGTTTCCTTGTACGATAGTAAACAGTCCTACAAAATTTTTAAAACAAAAATCTATTTAATTTTTAAATATAAAAATAACATAACGATATCCTAAATATTTTCTGGTGATAAATACAACTGTGATGATGATAATAAAGTACTACTATGATAAACCATGTTATAGAAAAGATATCTTCTCTATATCGTGTGTTAAATTAATGTAACCTAAGCGTCCTAAGCTGATATAGTACAAAATAGTATTGATAATGTACAATATTGTTGTGTTTAAAGATAATTGTTACAAAAATATCTCACTTTATATACAAGACATTCTAAATGGTCGAACAATTTTCGATTTTAATTTTATAGACTGTTGAATATTGATTGCTGTATTATAAATCTATGCATAATTTTAGTCATACTGTTATAATCACTTACTTAATTAATATCTGAAAATAAAAATAAATTTCAAGTTTTTAAACAAAATAGGGAATTAAATATTATTCTGAAATATGATCATATATTAAAATGGTTTTTGATTCACAAGTATATTTTTAATATTTTAGCAGTAAAGTATGTTAAACAAGTTTAACAAATGTTGAAAAACGTCAATGTAAATATGCAATTCCAATAAAACAATATTATTTAATGTTTTCAATGTTATCATTTGACATATTTCTTATCTTTTAAACTGATAAGAAACTATGACTATAAAAGAATTACAGATATTGTTTACATTTAGAAAAATGTTCATTATTATTTCATCTATTCTGTGGTAATCACAGATATATAAAATAATGTATTCTTACGTATCTGTAGTGGTAATACAATAACATATTTCAGCACCTTTTAATAAAATGTATTAGGAAAAATTAGATTTGATTATGATTTCAATTAATGAATTAAAAGAATTCATAATAAATTAGTCAACTCTGATATTATCTTCATTAACAACCTACAAACAAACATTAAAAAAAAAGTTATCAACCCTTCAAAATAAGACTAAACAACGTACGTTACCCTAGCAATATTTTATAAGCAGGCCCAGTGCTTCCCAAATTTGTATATAATATTGACTACACTCCTGTAATTTTACTGTTACTAGTTTAATAAGTTGCTTACCGAACACCAACAAATTTATTTTTTAAAATTGTAATGCTATCGTTTAATTTTGTACCTTTGTTGCCTATTCAGCTCCTGAAATTATTTAACTTGTCCGTTTATTGCCTATTTAACTTTCAAAATACTATTGCTGATGATTAAAAAAAATATTTCTATACCTACCTACCAAAGAATATTTTTATTTAAATATTGCCAATGCTCTTTGTAATTATTATTTATATTTTGAAATCAAATATTTTTCATAATTAATTAATATTATTTTTGAAAAACTTATTAGGTAACTATTTCTATGGTTATAATGGTCAAATAGATATCATAATTATTTTGTATTATTTCTAAAACTGATTACAATCTATTGATTTTTAGGTGTACCTAATACCGGTAACAATATTGTGATAATTCAATACATTATAAATATTTGATTATGATTTGAACAAAGTAGCATTATCTTAATACATACAATTTGTGTTACTAACCATTGTTGTTTTAACCCAATACTTTACACTTACACTTAAGCACCATTTCTCCTGAAATTGCTAATTTAATCAACTAATTCAATGTTTAATGTTTTTGTTCCATTAACCTAACAGACTAATTTAAAAATATATATTATAAAAAAAAAAAACAAATTAAAATGTTATAGTTCTTAGTTTCTATGATATGAAATAATATCATAAATACTATTGAAAGAAAGAAAAATATGAACAAATGTTATATTATTGATTATTTTAATAAGTTAATATACCGGTAACAATATTGTGATATTTGTAATACTCCGTTAATGTTGACAGGATTTTTCTGAAAAATTTAAGTGGACGTAAAACATAATACGAGGATTATTTTTGATTCGTAAGAGCAAAACGCTAGTATGAAGGGTTAGAGAACTAAAAACGGATAAAAAAGTTCTAATCGAAAATGAGGCATAGAAGGTAACTTTTATCAACTTTATGTAAGCAACACCCATATGTTGATTTTAGCCAAAAATTACCCAAAAATGTTTGTCCAAATTAAATATGCCGTTTCTCCGAATCGGTGCCTGAATCCCCTAAAATATTTCGGGAGCTTAAAGGGACCCCTAACCATNAACACCTCGGCATATCGGTTTGAAAATGGTGCTATGTTAAAACGCATATGTTAATCGGGGTCCAAAGTTGACCATTTCCTGTGGGTTCCTTCACCGTGCGTTACTACCTACCGTTTACCACCGAATGTTTAGCGATGTTCCGGCTGGAAAAACTCTTAACGGAGTACACTGTCTAAAAGTAGACTTCACGAACCATCTTTTGGTAAAATAAAGGTTTTTCAAATCTATAAGCGTCTATTCGTAATCGGGGTCAAAAAATAATGTTTCGGTTGGTTACTGTGACGTTATGCTAATACTTAAAAAATATATTTTTTGCGCCTCACATCGAACATTATTGCACATTTATTGCTTATCTATTGTCTTCAAATCAGTTTCACGCATTTTAAGAACGATTGGGCTCTTATCAAATATTGCTAGTGGAACATCCGTGTGTTTGAATAAAATTTGATATTATTATTATAGTATTTTTCATGAAATTATGAATTATAGAAATATTAAAGATGATATAAAAGAAAATCTGACTAAGCTAAATTAACTTATAAATTATACGATAGTAAAAATCGACTGGGTCCTCTTCAGAGAATATTTATATACCTACATTGTGGTATTACGATTTATTGATTTTTAGAACTGAAGATGAGGAGCAGGAATATCAAGTATTAATGTAGTAGGTAATATTTTTAAATGCACCTTTACCAAATAAATAATTTACTTTATTTTTTATTTAAAATTATTATGTATATTTTATATAATAGTGGACTTCAAAGTTGTTATCAGTTAAATCAACTATAGAAACACATAAAATATAAGCAGATAAAAAAAACAAATAAGAAATAATTCCTACATTATTTTAAGTACCTACTCTATATCTGCTTGTATATGAATCAATTATTATTTTAAATTATGTATAACACATTTCCAATGTCTACAAGTCTATAGTGTATAGGCACATGTTTAGATATTAAAAATTAATTCGTTTTCATATTTTTATAGGGAAATTCCAATAAATGAACAGGACAAGAATCTACAAGTGTTAGCATTAAAAGTTGTAATGAAGTATCAATTGACATGTTTAAAATGGAAAAAATCATAAAAGTGAATGACAAAGAAGAAAAAAGTAAATATCAATGTGGCAAGTATCTTTTGAGTACGTATTTTTCTCTCTTTTGTCTAATCTCACCCCCTAAATTTATCCACACGCAAAAGAAAAATAAGGTACAACAAATTTTGGTTCAGTATATTTATGTTAACTCAACTTTAATTTAAAATTTGGATATATACTCATAATAAGGGCACGGATGTTGTTTCATTTGCAACTTTTTTTCCATATTTTCAATTTATTGCTAAGTAAGTTTCAAATATGTTTCATGTAGTTGACACTCGACAATCGTGTAGATAAGATTATAATAAAACAGGGATGGGCATCCCAAATGTACTAGAGAACCAGTTTTTGATAATTAAAATCTATGCGAGCCAGAGCATAGGAAAAAAAAATCATTCAAAATATATATGTATTTAAATTAGTATTTATTTAGCATAATTTGAATTAACAGTAAAAACAAAACAAGGTTATTGAAAATAATTAAATTAAATTAAATATAAATAACACTATTACTATTTGTTCAATGTGAGATTTGTCACAGCTAATGATAACGCAGCAAAATCGATTACTATTTCAGAAGNATCTATAAGCGTCTATTCGTAATCGGGGTCAAAAAAGAATGTTTAGGTTGGTTACTGTGACGTTATGCTACTACTTAAAAAATATATTTTTTTTTCGCCTCACATCGTACATTATTGCACATTTATTGCTTATCTATCGTCTTCAAATCAGTTTCACGCATTTTAAGAACAATTGGGCTCTCTTATCAAATATTGCTAGTGGAACATCCGTGTGTTTGAATAAAATTTTATATTATTATTATAGTATTTTTCATGAAATTATGAGTTATAGAAATATTAAAGATGATATAAAAGAAAATCTAACCAAGATTAACTTATCAATTTAAATTAACTTATACATAATGCGATAGTAAAAATCGACTGTGTCCTCTTCAGAGATTATTAATATACCTACGTTGTGGTATTACGATTTATTGACTTTTAGAACTGAAGATGAGGAGTAGGAATATCAGGTATTAATGTAGTGAGTAATATTTTTAAGTGCACATTTATCAAATAAATAATTTACCTTATTTTTTATTTAAAATTATTCTGTATATTTTATATAATAGTGGGCTCCAAAGTTGTTATCAGTTAAATCAACTATAGAAACACATAAAATATAAGCAAATAAAAAAAAACAAATAAGAAATAATTCCTACATTATTTCAAGTATCTACAACATACCTGCTTGTATATGAATCAATTATTAGTTTTACATTATGTATAACACATTTGCAATGTCTACAAGTCTCTATAGTGTATAGGCACATGTTTAGATATTAAAAATTAATTTGTTTTCATATTTTAATAGGGAAATACCAATAAATGTACATTACAAGAATCTACAAGTGTTGGCATTGATAGTTGTAATAAAGTATCAACTGACATGTTTGAAATGGAAAAATTCATAAAAGTGAATGACGAAGAAGAAAAAAGTAAATATCATTGTGGCAATTATCTTTTGAGTACGTATTTTTCTCTCTTTTGTCCAATCTCACCGCCTAAATTTATCCACACGCAAAAGAAAAATAAGGTACAACAAATTTTGGTTCAGGATATTTATGTTAACTCAACTTGAATTTAAAATTTGAATACAATCTCATAATAAGAGTACGGATGTTGTTTCATTTGCAACTTTTTTTCCATCTTTTCAATTTATTGCTAACTAAGTTTCAAATACGTTTCATGTAGTCGACACTCGACAATCGTGTAGATAAGATTATACTAAAACAGGGATGGGCATCCCAAATGTACTAAAGGGCCAGTTTTTGACAATTAAAATCTATGCGAGCTAGAGCATAGCAAAAAGAAAAAAAAAATTATTCAAAGTATATATGTATTTAAATTAGTATTTATTTAGCATAATTTGAATTAACAGTAAATATAAAGAAAGGTTATTGAAAATAATTAAATTAAATAAAATAAAAATAACACTATTACTACTTGTTCAATGTGACATTTGTGACTGCTAATGATAACGCAGCAAAATCGATTACTATTTCAGAAGTGGAAACACAAAGTAGGTGACTTAATGTTTCATCAGTAAGACAATTTTTTTGCTTTGATTTTATATGTTTCATATTTGAAAATGTACATTCACAAATGTAGGTAGTTCCAAATATGGATAACATTTTTAACGCAAACTCTCATAAAAGAGGATATTTGTTAACAGGTAATTTTTTTCAAAAGCTTACATCAATATCTTTCGTGGATAATAATGAGTCAGTTTGCAACTCGCATAATTCTGATTGAAGTGCAGCATCTTGCTTTTCAATTTCAACTGCCATTGGATTATTAAACAAATTTATTTGAGGACGCGTAAGTTCAACTTCTTCAAATCGTCTTTCGAATTCTACAGTTAATTCATGCCAGTGGGTAATGCAATTTTCAAAATTGAACTCGTTAAAATGTTGAGAAATATTAGTTAAAAATGCCAATTAACATAGAAATTGTTTATCAATCATTTAGTTTTCTAAATAAGTGGTTTCAGTTGTACTATTCGTTTAGGAAACTCAAGTATTTCTTTTCTCAAAACAAAATATCGTTCGAGACACTTTCCACTACTAAGTTTCTGTAAATATGTAATAAAATTACGAATTGCACTATCAGTGTCAGTTATACCCGTGGTCTTCAATCAGTGGGTCGCGACCCATTTTTGGGTTTTCTTTTTAAAATAAAATTAAGTTTGAAAATTATTGTAATATATTATGTTATAAACAATATTATATAATTTATATTCAAAAATATAATAATATAATGGATTTCAAATCACAGTATTTGTTTTGTAAACTGGTATGTTTTTATTTAGTATGACATTAAAAATAAGAGTTAACCAGGCTAATAATAAAACAAATATATTATATTATTATCGTTAGGATGTTGTCGCTGTGTTTAAAGATGAATAAATGTTAGTCGTGTTATTGTTCTAATCATATTTATGTATCCGTTAAAAAGTTTTTTTTATTTTTATTTATTTATTTATAACAATACTACTACAAAGTATTAAGTAATTTTAGATGTTTTGTTTTTTTGTTTTTCTACAAACATTTTTCTTTATGTATGCCTTTTATAGGTCGCGAATAATGTATGCTTAAAAAAGTGGGTTGCCAATAATGTTCGCCTAAAAAAGTGGGATGTGAGTCCAAAAAGGTTGAAGACCATTGAGCTAAAAGACATGTCACTGTGCATCTTGAAAGTGATATTTTTTTAAATTCACTAGCAATTTTGTTTTAATTTATTGTTTCAGTCATTTTTATTGCACAGTTTTTAACAAATTCGTCATCACTCAACGAGTTTTTAGATTTTGCTATTTCATTAGAAATAATATATGAAGCTACTAAACTGGATTGTTGTGAAGTTGTTGTTGTTGTTGTCATCACATTTTGTTATAATTGAAGTTTTCTTTTCCGATCAATTATAACACTCTCTCTTGCATATCACCAATGTATTTTTCATATTTAGACAAATAATTTGTCATGTAATGTCTTTTTAAATTATATTTTTTTAGTACTGCAATAATATTTAAACAAACTAAACATTGAGGGTTTTTTGTTAATAATAAATAAATATTCATTTTCTTATAATCTGTTGCATAGGCCAATTGCCCATCCCTGTACTATAATATTGCCAGCTATAAAATCTAGTAATGGTATCATATTCTTATTTTGATAATTCCAAGTCGGTAGGTATTCAATACAATACAAAAATAATTTGTGAAATGTGACTGTTTGACTGTTATAATCTGTTTTTCAGTCACTCGATGAATTTTGAGTGATTGTGTTCTGTTATTATGCTGAAAATTAAGCTAACTATTTCCATTTTTGTAAAAAAAATTGTTCCTTTTTAGGAAGGAATCAATTCCAATAGTTTTTTGTCACTACAATATCCTTGCAGATGAGTATTAAATAATAATAAAAATTAAAAATTTGTTTAGTATAAGAAGAAAAACCTTAAGCCTGGTCCAAAATAAAGTAACTCGGTGTTTTCAAGTATTGCCATTTGTTTTTGTTTTCTTGAAACAAACATTAACATTTATAAACATGCTGTTCACATCTTATCAACAAATTTGGATGTATATTGGAAAGTAGAAGAGACACTATTACGAAAATTGGGTAAGATGATCAACATAAATAATCATTAATTTGTGATATACCTATTGTCAGGTGTTTGTGATTAAACTTAATAAAACTATTTTTTTTTGTTCACAGTCCAACAAGTAATGATGAAATGTACAACTTATATATTATGTACTGAGTGGAAGCAGAGGTGAATAGTCTACTGCTTACTGTTAAGTTTTCTATGTAGGGACTTCTACATGACAAAATTGTAATTATTTTTATCAATTCACCACCTGAGTGGACAGTTTTCCATTTAATAGTGNAAAAAATTAAAAAAAAAAAAAAAAAAAAAAAAAAAAAAACATAGGAAGCTGAATGAGAAAATATAAGAATTGTATAAATATCATTAAATCATATTATCATAATGGTTCAACATTGACAAATTACCAACTGAAATAATAATTATAAAATGATTTTTTATTTATTTTGACATACAAATCCAAAACAATAAAATATATGTTTTTCCAGTTCATTTGTTTGAATTTAATATTTATTTCTTAAAAGTTAAATTCACTCTTGTAGGTAAACATAAATACATAATTACAAGTATTATTAATACAAATATTGATTAAACATTTCACATTAAAATAAAATATGATGTATTGTATAGGTAGGTATATTTAATACTGAACATTAAATAGGATAATTAATTGATCATTTTTTGTTTAAATTTTAAAATTCCCAAAACAAATTTAAAACCAAAATTAGCACCTATATCTTAATTATTTAAATATAGCCTAGATATTTTCTTTTCTTTAACCTAATTTTTTTTACAGAAAACTAATTTGATGAGGGGGTTTAAATTCATGAACTACAATAAATATCCATTTTTGTTTATTTATCAAAACTTTAAATATTCTATAGAAATAAACATTTGTTCATTGTTCAATTATATCATATATGTATTGATTAAGTTAAAATAATGTGAGACCTTTAATTACTAGCTCTGACCAACTAAAGAATATAACAAAAACATGTTTATTCAGACTGATTATAATTAATTTAGTTTTAGTTTTAAAGCACCTAATTATAAAACTAAAAGTGGATAATATTCTGGAGAACACCTTGTTGCCATCATTTTAAACGTGATGTACATTATTATGAAATGTTTTAATATTTTAAAATTACTGTAAATTTTTTAAATGTTTATTTTATTTTAACCACAGTATGGTGCCCTACTAAATATTAGTCTTCTTTTAGTTTTATAGCAAGTGCTTTTATTCTAAAACTAAAATTAAACAAGGTTTACTCAGTCTGTATTATAATATTTTTGCTATGTTGCTTATTAATTGGACTGAAATAATACATAAGGGTAACATATCATGTCCTTTTAATAACTAGACATATTTAATATAACCTACCATTTGAAGGATTACTTTTAAATTTTGAGAGTTTGAAACTCATTTCTAAGTATTATTGTATTAATACTTGTACCAGTTGCAAATCTGTCATCAGTGGGATATTTTTAGAAAATATAAAATATTTTGAACAAAAATAATAATGACTAGTAAATTGTATGTTGAGATACTACACATTGGTATTAAGTACTTACCTATATTAATAGTGTTGCATGATTTATAAATTAATTGTGTATAATTAACAGTTAATCAAAATTGTTGAAATTAATTGTGTCAAGGTGTCATATAAGAATAACTTATAGAAATTAATATAAAAAATAAATATATGTACTAAGGTATCTTTTGGTGATAGAATTGTATGATCTTTAATTATTACTTTGTTTTGTAAAATGGTAACTTTAATAATACCAATTTGATNCTACTACATTTTTGATAAGGAATACCTAGGGAATAAGGAATTCATACCATCAAATATGTAGGTGTAGAATATGCACTATAGTGTAAATTCCATGTAAAATAGTGTACGTTTTAATTACATTTTAAAAATGTACAAGTTAATTATAGGTATTTATCTACTTTGGAATTGATTTATTTATTTAACTGAGGAAACAAGAACATTTCCTTTATGTACTTATGACTAATGATATTTGATGTACATAATATTATTTGTACACTAAATAAATGTGTAAATATATCTGTCAAGTATATATTGGTGTATGATTAAAAAAAAGGTAAAGCAGTTAAACTTCCACTTGAAAATAATAGTATGCCATTGTTGTCCACATTGACTACTCAGTTTCCATGAACGAATGGCCTGATATTTCACACTGAAAATAAATGATGGTGAGTTCCATGTATTTGACATGTTATTTAAATTAATACTGAACTGGGTTATAAGTGCACTTTTCAATGGAAGCACTTGCATATAAAATCGCCAGTAATGCTCTAGTAGGTAGTTTGTGGTCCTATTTCAATAGTATTGCAAATTAGGCACTCTCCCAATCATATGAAATTGTATACAATTTTACTATTGGTAAGAGGTCGTATCTCAATAATTATTATTGTGAGATTTGAGAAGCCCATGTTAGAAAAATTACTTTTTTAATACCAAAAAGACCCAACAATTTGATTTGTTCTTAATTTCCTAAAATTTATTAAAAGTTAGATTGGTCCTTTTTTACCTAAGTCCCAGAATTTTTCTATGATGATGCTGATACAAACATTGAAATTTTGAAGCATACAGCAAGACAACAATGCATAATATTTTATTTTGTTAAAAATGTTACTGTTTAATTTAAACAAATTTACATCGGTAATAAGGTACAACTATAAAAGGAATTATTTTTTTTAGGTACCTGCTGTTCAGCAGCTAGGATTATATTGGGTATTTATTTAAAAATTAGTCAATAGATAATTTCTTTTTACCTTATCTATCTTTACTTTATTGTTCTTTATTTTTCATAAATGAAAACTGTCTCATTCGTATTGTAAAAATATGACTTAAAACTATATTCAATACACGGAAAAGGTAATGATAAATTTAATTTATCATGGTATTATATAATTATTATTAAAAAAATTCCTTACTGTGTCATCTAAAACGTTAGGACTCAACATGGATTTCAAATCGATTGTAAGATAATGCAATAGATTGTAAGCAATTTCTAAAAAAATAACAAAATGTGGGGTCTCACATGGTGATCTATATTTTGTTCAAAAATAGTTTGGCAGAAAATATATGTATGGAAATTATTCGAGCAGAAAAATATTTGACTAGAAAGATATTTTAGTCGAAATATAATTTATACGAAAAATAATTTATTAGAACCGAATTTAGTTAGAAAATAAGGTATATTAAATACAAATAAAGAGCGCTGTTTAAAAGACAAGTAACTTGCTCTAATAAGCAAGATATAATTATATATATGGCCACAATATTAGATATCGTGGGTAATGAAGGCTAAGAACCTGGTATATCTAAGTATATATTATATAATTGTTCTTCGTAGTAGAAAATCATAGATTTGTAATCTATATTATCAGGTCTATGAGAGAGACCTGATAATATATAATGTTTAGCGGTTTGCAGATGATATTAGGTAACAGTGTTATCACCTTTATAAGTATTTTCTACCGAATTACTGTAACAAAATATTAAACACCACACTATTTTTCCCCGGAGAGGAGCTCACTGCGCGGACGTTGGCTACGCCTCCGGTCGCCGTTCACCGCCGCCGTTGGCCATGGTAAAATGGTTGCTGTTATTGTTCATTAATGTTTCTGGCAACCACTGAGTTCCCGTCTTCCCGAACGAAACTCTACAAACTTCACACCGCTAATCTAGGTTTAAATGCTATATGATAATAAATACTAAAAGAAAAGAAGTCAAAGGAAACTGGATTCTACAGTGAGTATCTCTAAATTCTTTTTCCTAGTTTCTATTTAATTAAATTACAACCAATTTAATATTCATTTTATTTATTAAACATAACAATTTCAACAAATTTATATTTTTAAAGTAGTTTTAAAAATATTAATTATAATGAATTAATTAATACATGATGAGTGAGTGGTACAGGAGTTTGGATAATTCTGATGCTATGGAAGGCACGTTTCAGTCTTCAATTTCTTGTTTTTTCTCCCTATTTTATAATGAATGATCCTTCAGTTGTATTCAGTCCTGTGTTAAACTTTTTAAATTGGTCATAGGTCCATATACCCAGGTATGGTATTCCAGTGTCATTATAGAGCTACTTGTTGCACATGAACCAAGATGATTTAAGGGCTATTTTGAAAAATTTATTTTTATTTGTTTGAAACTTTATTTTTATTAGAGATATGGCGACCCATATTGGACATGCATTTGTGATTATTTTTCTAATTAATAATATACCAAATAATATGTGCAGGNGTCATTATAGAACTACTTGTTGCACATGAACCAAGATGATTTAAGGGCTATTTTGAAAAATTTATTTTTATTTGTTTGAAACTTTTTATTTTTCTAATTAATAATGTACCCAATAATATGTGCAGGTGTATGTATCAGTAGCAACTATTTGATTTGCATTGTAGTAGCTAATCAGGGGATTTAAAAT